TAGCTCCACAATAGAGCTCTCAATCTGGGCAACAAGACGTGCACGGGCAGGAGCAACACGCTCCCAGCTCCTGACTCTCAACGTGGGCTCACTCGCACAGCAACGAGGTACTTGTGAGCCAGAGGTCAAGACAGGATGTTGAAACCCATCGCTGTGAACTGGCTTTCTCAGATTGCCACTGTCACTGCCACAGCAATTCCCAAATGACACAGCTTTTATCAAGACCATGCAGAGCCAGCAGAACATCGGCTTGTGAGAGCCAGTCCAAATGATCCCAGACCCAGAGAACTGATCAGTACTTCTGAAGGCATGACTTGCTATATGTCAAAAAGCATTTCGGGAAGCATCCAACAATTATCCCCACACTGGCACCAGAAACTGGAAATTAAATTTTCATACATTTGGACATGACTGATGAAATTCAAGCAGCTGTTCATCTGGAGGACAGTACTTGTTAGCTGACAGATCGCCAATGGCAAATGACTAGTTTCTATTTGTCTTCTCTTGTAATAAGGGCCAGAGCAAAATTTATCCAACTCTTCGAGAAAAAAAAAAGACATCAAGATTTTTACCCAATACTCACCAGCTCAAATCAAGTACAGCTATTTTCAGAGCTATTAAGATTTAAAAAGAAAGGATTACCAATAAAAGAACGTAATTCTGTATGAAGAAATAATTTGATAAAGCAAGCCAGCAGGCAGTGTTTAGTTGTCAAGGCTGATTGTTATGAATAGAAAGATAAGGAGGCAAAGACAATGTTTATGCAGTGCTTTGATACGTATGATCGCACATCTACAGGAGGCAAGGAGGTGCCACGTGGCTCGCTGGACAGCTCCAGCTTTACATCCCAGAATTAATGTTTGCACTTTAAGGGAGAATAGATTACATTTGGGATTGAAACTGGTGTAGGTTAAAAGAAAGAAGGACATGTACGTGATCAAGATTTGATCTGTCTGTTTCAATTTATAGATGCAGAGTGGAAAAGTAAATTCCTGCAGAAATGTCACTTACTGGATAAAAATTTAATCTAATGTAAACCAGCTTTTCCCTGTTCTTGGGTTTGCAGTGCTGAAAACCTGAAAGTGATGTAAACTAAAAAGGAACAAATTCAGCAGTGTGTGTAGCCTGTTTTTAACACCCACATTTCCACACCTCTCCCCCCTCCCCAAGAAATAAAATCTGCAGAACTACTAAAATAATCTAGAAATGTGCAAATGTTTGTTCTAATACAGCATTTTTAAAAATATTTGGTTTACTAATATATAGGGCAAAATGAAAATTAAAAGGAAACAGAAACACACTTCCTTAAAAAGTTGGTATTATCCACCACCCGTTTTTTCTCGTTGTGAATCTCTCAGATCATCATATCACCAGCAGGATCCCACAGTAGTCCCTAAGACAAAGAAAGATGAACGTTGAATTCAAAGCAATGAAGAGTTTGCTTTAGAGGAAAATGACTCCCTCGGGCACTCATTGAGAGCCCTGAGCAATGGGAGTACAGCATACTCCATCTAAGCTAATAAATCAAACAGTGCAAAGGTCTGTTTTCAGTACTTAATCATTTATACTGTTAAATTTTTAGAATGGTTCCTGGCCACATTTTTGCCCCAAGCAGTCTAGCAGTATCTCAAACAGTTCCCGGGAATGATCTGGGAGTTTGGCTGCACCGGGGACCATTCTCAATGGGCAGTTTGAACACCATCTCCCCATTTTAGAAGCTGAAGGAGCTTAACAGCATGGGCACAAGCTGCTCTCTGGCACGTGGCCTGAAGGCTGAAGAGCTGTCCTGGCAATCTTCATGTACTAGTAGATATATAACGTATGAGACTGAAACTAAACATGTATGCACCTGATAGTGCACACTTTGCAATGAGATGCCTGCACATCAGCTTCAGCAGAGGCATGCGAGAAGCAGGGCAGGCACAACCATGTTCTGGTTTGCAATACTAAGGCCACAGAATTTAGAGGACTTAATCATTATCTCTCCTCCACTCTTGACAGAATAATATGTAAGTAGATGCCTTATATGAACAAAAGCTAAAGGCTGCTATCTTTCTAGCTAGGGGCAGATGTGAAAATCACTGAAATGTTTCATGGCAAAACTACCACTCAGCCAACATCAGCCATTCTTCCTTGCATACAACTACCTCCTTCAAACATCCAGTAATTACAAGATGGCTACAGATTTAAACCCTGCCAAAGTACTACACCAGGAAAGGCTTCTCATGATAAAATGCTTATGCTGCATTAATTCACAGTAGGTCTGAATTTTGGCAGTCTCAGACCAGGGATATTATTTAACTTGTCCCTACTGGCTGTTATACTCAGACTGCTCTGGCTGTTTTAACAGCTTCAGGAGAGCATATGAATTATCGCAAGCTTTGCTTTTGTTTTTGATGAATAATCCCACCCCCCCTCCAAATTACGTGAACTCAGCAAGGACTCTATATCAAGATGTCGAAAGACTCATTTGCCTTTGTTTTATGGTTTGTTTGTTTGTTTTTCACAATCAAGTAAATGCATTTTCCAGTATATTATACGTACAGAAACCCTTAAAAAGAACCTAAATCTCAGAGCCTGCTGTGCAAGTCTTCACCCTTTTGCTGACCACCCCTGCGAAATTTGACAGGTCATTTGCACCAGCATTTTCATGTGGCAGATCTACGTCTGTACTAGAAAGTTGCCTCATTTTGTAAGTGTTGCAAACCTGCAGGTCCCATAAAACACAGTTGCTCAGCTGCTGTGAAGACTTAAGCTTCCTTAATCGCATAAGGGCTTGCTCTCACAAGCATCTACACCTTTTCTCAAATCCACAAATGTGAATAGAGCCATTGACTTTGAGTCAACTTTCAAGTGTTTTCAAGTTAAACAGGAACTTAAGAGCTTCGGATTTGAGCCAAAGTTTTAAAACATTGCTCTTAAGCTTCTTGGTGCAAAGTTTTGTTCACCTGTAAGGCAGAGATATAGATTTACTAACAACATTCAAGCATGAAAACACGCTCCAAAAAAACAGTTAAAGCTCTGATTTTGCTACAGCTGGAGCAACAAGAGCTGTTCTACACGTGAAGCTGAAGATCATCTTCCAACACGTTATTTCCACATACTGCACAGGCATACACGAGTCTCTCTCAGACACAAGTATGCTACATTCAAACAAGCTTCTTTATACAAGTACACTCAGAATACACTCAAAGTACACATTTATCTCAGACTAAACGCATTTTATGGAAACTCAACGTTTTGATTCTTAACCTGCACTAGTGTTTTTTTTCTTTTCTTTCTTCCCAGGCAGCTGTTTTGGTTTTAAAGCAGCACCATAATTACCATTATTTACAGAAATAATTCAAATGCAAAGTTACACGGCAACTGGAAAACTGTCCATAGATTACATCTACAGAGGAAGTGCAAGATATTTTTTGATTAATTGAAAAAGAATTAGTCTGGCCGCTCTAAGTACCTGGGTACTTTTGATAACCTCACCAGCAAGAAGTCCCTTCTCTAAATATACACTGAAATATTTTTATTGACCAAAAGAAATCAATATGGGAAAACACAGGCTGGAAGAGAGAAAGGACTAAGAAACAAAGATTAGGAAGAACTGGTTTGGGATTGAAGACAGCAAGTGTGTAGACCCATGACACTGATCCCATGTGCACTGATCTCCGACTGGGGAAAAAGACACTGGCAGAGCTGAGAAAATATTATCTGTCTTCTAAGAAAGCTACTACAAAGCTTTTAAGATTAAATTGTTGCTTGCCTTTAGAGCCTGTTGCTTTACCTGACCTGGCTTCTCTCTATCTTTGTAAATTAGATAGAGAGGGGAAAAAAATAAAAAGACAGAACATAAGGAAATATAACAGATTTTCTTTCTTTATCTAAGGAAATGTTAAAGATGGGCCAATTACACTACAGTTCAGAAGGATCACTGCCACTTCTTTAATGTAGTAGGAACAGCCTTTACAAATTCTGCACAGGATCGATGTATTCTCTGCTTGATCTCTCACATTTGTTTTGCAAGTATGACTTTCCACACTTATAACTATTACTTAAAACAAACAAGCTACCAAAGAAGTCAGTCTGATTTAGGAGTGTGGGCTGGGAAGGCTGTTTTAAGTCCAGTCTGACACAGGCCATTCTTATTTCAAGCATCACACAGAGGGAAGCTTGTGATGGAAGAAGGACCGCGAGGAAAAGCCTCTCTTACATTTCAGTCAAGAGAAGCTCAGAGCAAACACCTGGATGGACGCACGGGCTGAGCTTCGCCCTTCACTGTTGATCCCTGAGGTGAAAGAGCGACCGGTGCAAACGAGCACCAGCCAGGGCCACCCCCTGCCCCACAGAACTGGGTGGTGGCAGGGAAAACCCTTTCCTCCGGGGCAGGGAGCTGCGACCCCAGTGGGGTCCGTGTGCTGGACCTTTTTGGCAAGGGACAGGGAGGCGGCTGGCTCGCAGGGAAGGGGACACCAAGAAGGGCCATGGTTCAGCCCAGGGGCTCTGAGGGGACCCGGGGGTGAGCGGCCACGGGGAGAGGGTGTTTCAGTGAGTGAAGCCGGTCTGGGGCTGTGAGGGAGCAGGTAACAACCACCGGGACGGATCCCTCAGCACCCGGGGGGCGGGCGGGAGCTGCGAGGGAGCAGGGAACGGTCTCCGGAGAGGGTCTGTCAGTGCCCGGGGACGGAGAGCATCTGTGAGGGAGCGGGAAACGGCCGCCCGGACGGAGCCCCGTCCCCCCCCCTCCCCCCAGCTCCTCAGAGCCCGGGCGGAATCTGTGAGGGAGCGGTTAACGGTCACCGGGACGGATCCCCCAGCACCCCAGAAGCGGGCGGGACCGTGCGAGGGGATGGGAGGCGCAGCCCCCCGCTCCCTCACACACCGGGTGGGTTACCCGCGGCCGTGGGGCGTCCCCCTCCCTCCCTCCCTGTCCCGTTTCCACCACCATCCCACCCACCCCCCCCCCCCCCCCCCGCCTTCACCACCCTTTCCCCGGCCTCGGCACTTACGGGCAAGAGCAGGAGCGCGGCGGCCGCCGCGGCCGGGAGGCTGCGCTGCGGCGCCCGCCCCGCCATGGGGCCGGCGGGGCTGGGGAGAGCGGGGCGGGGGGGGGGGTGTGGGGGGTGTGGGGGGGTGTGGTGTTTCCCGCTCAGCCGGAGCCTCCGCGCTACCCCGGAGTTGGCATCTCCCCCTCCTTTCCCCTCTGCTGCCCTTGACCCCTTGCTCCGCCGCCGAGGAGCCAGCCCCACAGCCGCCGGCGCGTCCCAGGGCAAACCCCCCGGAGGGAGGGAGGGAGGGAGGGAGCCGGGCGGGGGAGACAAGCCCGCCCTCCGCCCAGGATGCCTCGGGGATGGAGGCGGCTGGGGGTGCCCCCGAGGGAGGGCGACCCTCCAGAAGCAAAGGGGACCTTCCTCTCTCCCCCTGCACTGAAAGCCAGAGGCACCGGGTGCAATAGGGACTTCACTGCCCGCAAGCCTCCAGAAGCTATGGAGTCGCCCCCCCCCTCCTCCCTCCCCGAGCACTAAGCGCAATGGAGATCCCTTTCCCCGAGCGCTGGGTGTAATGAGGACGCCTTCCAGGCAAGCCTCTAGAAATTATGGGGATCCTCCTCCACCCCCCCTCCATACGCTGGGGATTCCACTGCCTCAAAGCGTCCAGCAACAAGACCATTCCCCCTGCCCAGGCTGCAGGTGCAATGGGTAATCCTTTCCAAAGTGAAGTGCAATGCAGACACTCCCCACAATCCTCCAAGAGCAATAAGGATCCCTTCACTACCACCCCCTCCCGCCAGGTATCAGGTGCAATGTTAAATCCATTGCCCACAAACTTCCAAGAGCAATGTGTTTCCCCCACTCCCCAGGCACAGAGTGCATTGTGGACCCCCTACAAGCCTCGAGAAGAAAGGGGGAAGCCTCCCTGACACTAAGTTCAATGTGAACCACCTGCCGATCCTCCAGGAGTAAGGAGACACCACCCCCAGCCCTAGATGCAAGGTTACTAGGTGCAATGGGGACCACCACCTCCAAGATAATGAGGAGTAAGTCTCCAGGCTTCCTGGGTACCTCAGAGGCAAGAGAGTTTCAGCCCGCTGGTCACCAAATTCACCAGCACACCTTCCCTCAAATCTCCAAGCCTTTGCTATTCCCTAGCTGCACAGGGAAGCCCTTTCTTCCCAGCACCAAGCCTTGTCAGGGTCCCCAACCGCATGTCTCAGCTGGGAATGTACACCCTCCTAGCCAGGCAACCCCAAATCAGCCTGTGGGGTTGTTTCTTGTACACTTGGTCTTTGAAACAAGGGACATCTGTCCTGCTCCTCTCATCTATGGGTACTTGCCAGACTGGACGTCTATCCCAACAAAGGCAAAACAAGGTCACCTCATATCTTCATGACATATGCACAGTGACACACTTAACCAGGGGCCTTCTGGCCTTCTGCGCTATCGCCCTAGGGTGGCTGTTGGTGCTAAGGGAATTGGAGCCTTACAGAGTTGGACGCCTGACCCTATTGAGGCCCATAAGCTCCTGGGCTTAACAGAAACTAATTAATTACTCGCTGACTTCTGCATCCAGTTAGGATGCTCCATACAACAGATGCATCTGTGGTGGTGTTAGACTGTGAGCATCAGGACAAGCCCTGGTCTTCCCAGTGCCAGCAATGAGCCCAATAGGACTTTTTTTCTCCTCTGCACCATCCCATCTTCTCAGAGAACAGCCAGCTGTGTTATAAATCACAGTCAGTACCTGCCCACAGCTGCAGCTGGGACTGTCCCCAAAAGCCCAGCCATGTCCTGAGACACACAAGCTTCACTCACAACTCTGGAGCAGGAGCAGACATGACCTGCTTCTTCCCAACCCAACTGCTGGATTCCCGCAGGGAGCAGTGTCATACACTGCCCATCACCTCTGATGGGCAAAACCTGCCCCAATCACCTGTTGACAATGGTCTCCTTTCAGGGAGGCGGTGTCTTTTCTTCCCTGAGACACTGCCTTTCCACCACCCTCCTTGGCTTTTTTAAAATAAAAATTGTTTGGCATAAAGGTCATAGTGGCACAGAGTTCCAACAAATTCTCATGGTTTGCAGAAGCTTGGCAAGCCTTACTAAGAAGCAGAAGTACCTAGACATCTTTCTTTGGGGCCTTGCTGAATTATTTTGCTTCTTGTCATTTGCTCAGAAAGGCATAAAACAACAGTTTCTCATTATCTCTAAAACATCTACAAGGAGGCATACATCCCTTATCCCATGCAGAGATCCCACTTAATACAGCATGAATATCACTGCAAGGAGATGTGCACTTATATACACTAGAGGACCTGGAATCCTCCTAAAACACCAGCAAAAGTATTCACAAAGCAGTGTTATTTTCTCTTTTTCTCTGGTTATTCAACAGTTTGAATGCATTTAAATATTTAAGCTTACCTAGTTTTTCCTCCCGTCAGTTGCCCAACATTTGTTTCATTATTAAAAGAAAACAAAACTGTAAGCCAAAGTTGCATGCTTCCAATTAATATGAATGTTTTCATGAAAATGCAAAAGGAGGAATAAATCTAGCACAATTTTTTATTGCATTTTAACATCCACCTCCAGGACTGGAAACTCACATGCAACAGGATTACGTGAGCTCTTGAGAATTGGTAAAGGAAGCCTGAAGCTGCATGTGCATAGACATAGGGCAACTGTCCTGAAACCCGAAAGGTTTTCCAGCATGCTGCTCCATGGCTTTCTGTTATGATTTATCTGTGTTTATTGCGCTGTCCAGAACCCAGGCCTCATAATGTTAAATGCTGTATTGAAACAGAACAAAACAACACCAACTTGTGACTATCTAAGGATTAAACAAATCATTCCCTCAGTCTCGTTTCCAGGGCTTTTCCCCTTATAGCCAACTGCAAAGTCCAACCAAAACTTTTAATTAATTGCGTTGTTTGTAAGGTCACTCCCCTTCAGACTGCCTTGTGTTCTTTAAGGGCTGAACTCATGTTGAGGCTTTTCCTTTAGTCATGGTGCGTCTGGGGACTCTTCTCCCAGTCATCTCCTTTTATAAAATTTGTAGGATCATTCATCATACTGTTGACTTTATGGGTTAAATTGGTCAAAGAGTTAAAATGGAGACAGAGAGACTTATACAGACACAGATATATACACACTCGTGTGCATGTGAATATGGTATGTGAAACATAAGCCTTGTTCTTTCAGGAAACAGACCCGTGAGATCAATACGCAGATATTCAGGAACGCAGGAGAAGAATGTGACAATTCTGATCAGTTGGATGGAGCATGTCTCCATATGGGATCATGGCATGGATCCAATTGTTCAATTTTTGCCCATATGATTTTAAGATATTGCTTGCAACCATGCCCATACAAGGATGTCTCTCCCTTGCTTTTTTGGTGGTGTTTTTTTTTTTTTTTTTTTTTTTTCTTTTTAAAGCTCCTGAAAGGATTTAGACATATCTTCAACTCTAAGCCTACAAGTGTTCCCACTGGTCTCAGTGGTGAAACTGTACAGACAGCATCCTCGCTGGAGGAAGGGCATGGCCAGCTCTTGGTGTAACATCTAACACAGTAAGGTCCTTGCCGTGTCTGGAACCCTGAGGATTTTCTACAATACAACTAAGTAACTTGATAAACAGTTTTAATAATAATCACAAACATCACACAAAACACAAGTACCCAAAGGGTGGAATCAGACTGAATCAAGTGCTAACTCTTTGTCTCTGAAATATTAGATGACCTCTCGGAGGGATGAAATGTCTTTCAGTTAGAGTAAAGGGAACCAACAGGAAATATCAAATATGTCCCTCCAGGTGAGATCCAGAGCCCTATTCTATGGATGTGTTACCAGCAGAATGATGGCAGGGATGACATGATTGGACTGCTCATCTGCGAACTGGGACACCGTGGGTCTTAAGCAATAGGTCAGTCTGTTGGGGTTGAGCTCCAGCTGCTGCATCTGTCCTGTATCTTCAATGAGCACACTCCGTATCACCTCTTGCAGTTAAGCCTGGACTGAAGAAGCTTTGGGATCAGGAAGAGATAAGAATGTGGAGGTCACAGACGTATAGTTGGATGCAGAGAGGTGCTTGCACTTTTTGCTAGATCTTCAGTGGACCAAAACATCTAAAGAGCCTGGGTTCAGTTTCTGAGCCTAGTCTCAACCTCTGCCTAGGCTCACTCTGTACTTGGTGCAAAAGGCAGGTTTTACTCCTATCGTCTGCAAACAAATGATGCAGGTGTTTGGGGAAGGTGGACAGACTGGGTTCCCATTCGGATCTCAGGTAGGTTTAAGGTCTCTTGTGCAGGATATGAGTGGATCCAATTTTAAGCATGTATCGGTTGTTTTATTCATCCTCTAAGGTAATAATGTTAAACTCCTTCCAGAGACGTTGTGACAGCTCGGAAGAGCTACAAATCTTTGAAAGTATTGTACTGCCCTGCCCCTTTTTGGCTGCATCATTTTCAGCTCTGTTTCAAAGAGGTGAGTGAATTGATCTAGGTATGCAAGATCTGAAAAAGGTCAGGCTGGGAAAAGAAATGGGAGGAGTCCCCCCTGCTTCTTGCAGAGTGAGTGAATGCCATAAGGAAAAGAGCACATGATGACATTTGAAACCAGAGTAAAGTCTGCAAGGTTAGAAAGTTAGCTGGAGGGGTCTGATTAATAATAAATGTAATGGTTTCCTGAAATAATGGTGGGCAGCTCAGGGTAACAGAATTCACTCTGACAAAGTAAAGGCACATAGTTTCTTCCTCTTCATCAAGCTAATCCTTGCAATTACACTTGAAAGAGGAAAGTAAGTAAGGTAGAGGAGAAAATGGTGATATTTAAAGAAAGTTCCATTGTTTGAAATGATTCCTAATAGTGAGTCTCTGGAGTGTAGTATAAACCCCAGGACTGGGGAGAGAGGAGGAAAATGAGGTGGAAGCATCACCCCTTAGGCATAAAATAGATTTTCTGGCTTTCTTTATCGTGGAACTCATGTGGACACAGCATTCTCATGGAATAATAACACAGGGCTTTTCCTTGAAACAGTGTCCCCAGCTTAGTGTTTTGCACATCCTTTTGCCAAGGCAATGCAATCAGCTCATCGCTTCCCTAGAGCCCCACAAACCTAAGCTAGCACCAAGCCCATGTGGGCTGGGTGAATGGTTCTGGTGGCTGCAGGCACTGCCAGATGCTTTTCCTCCCCTAGCCGGCCTGGGAACAGCAAAGCTGCCACATCAGGGGATGCCGATCTGGGTGCCTTGCAGTCAGACTTTCAGGTGCCGTGCTCCAGCTGACAGGCAGGCTGTGAAGGACAACTGGCA